AACGTGCGCCTGAAAGACATTCCATAAGAGTTGCCGCTGGTTTCCATCGTGGATTGGAAAGCTGTGCGAAGATGTTTACTTAGCTGCTCGGAGAAACTGCTTTTTGGCACCACGACTGCTCTTTACTGTCTTAGTAAAGCACAACGCATCCAGGGAAGGAGCTGTCCCAACAAAGAGAGGCCGACTTTTTCCAAGTCCCATTAAACATTAAGCCCACTTAGGTTCTGTTTGGTAAAATATGCCAAAGGGTGGCGTAAAACAACTTCTGGGAAGAAATATTTTCATTTTAAACTCACAAAACGTTCCCCTGCATAAGCATTAATAAAAGAGCCATAAGCAGCAAGTCTGAAACAATACTGTCTGGGTCCGAGGTTAACTTCATATCAATTTGAAAACAAAGCAACTGGCGTTCGTTTACTTTTAGAAAGGGTGCGGAGACCTACACTTAACTTTTTTTCTGGAGCTCCTATCTTTCCCCAAGCAGACATGGATGAATCCTTACTTCCCTGGGCTTCCACTGTCTTCTCTGTGACATTCTAAGGGTTCTAAGTTTTGTCCTTGCAATAGGAATTGTTTATCTGGGTGTTTTACCAAGCACTTTGAAAGCACAGTTTTTAATTTACTTCTCACAAAAAGCCTGTGTGTGGGGTAGCAAAGGGACTTTTTAGCCTTATTTTCAAAACTGAGGCTCAGAAAATCGAAAATCGTCCAACACAAACCAGTCCGGGGCACACAGATCCATGGCCAAATGGGGACCATACAATACTGTGAATCTTTCCTGAGGCTTAACTGATTTATTTCAAAGGCTGGACTTTTCTTTCAAGATTACATCTATATTTAAATTTTACAAAATTGTTGTAATGTTCTTACTTAGCCAGAAAAATAACAACCACCTGAATAGTGTCTGATTTACCATGAAGTTAATGGGGCTTAAGCTTCAGGGACCCTCCCTTGCACGGGCCCTTCCAAGAGGCCCTAGCACATGTTGGCATGTGTCAAATTTACAAAAATGAGGTAAGTTTATATTCTCTGTCTTCAAGAGGCACCCAAACTGTGTAAGTTTCAGGTTCACAACGTTTGGATCTGAACCCGAACCCAAGGAGTTTGTTCTTTTGTTTTCTCTTTTATTTGTCTGATCCATGAGTTCCCAGTGACCCACCAAGAGATGTCCCAAAGTCTCCGCCCCAGACACCCCGCAACTGTCTTGTCCAAGTTCGTACAGAGAAAGGTCCAGCCAAGACTGGCTCACGGAGCTCCCCTTTTTTCCACCCCATGCTGCCCCATCACACACACAAAAAAGGAATCTCTAGGAAATTTTGACTTACACCAAAAACACAGAGGACTGATTGTTTTCTGGGCATTTCTTAGAAAAAGGAGAAAGAAATGTTGCTTTAAACCCAATTGAGCTTTGCAAACTTTGAGCATTACACCACTCACACACATAAAACCGGAGAGCTGTGGAATTTCCATGGGTGAGCCAGCCCCCGTCAGGACACGTACACCCTGGGTTAAAATTAGATGTGTCCCTGGGCCAGCTAGGTGGCCTCCCTGTGCCTCTCCAGGTAGTGTCTGCACTTGAAATGAGGTGCGAGGGTCCCCGGGTACCAACCAGAGTGTGGGAGCCTTTCCTCCCCACCCCGCTGGGGTTACCACCCCTGCCTCTAATAAGGGTTTCTCAGGTGGAGAGCCTGGCAGGGTGGGTATTCAGTGGGAGCTAGGATGTGGATAAGCACAGCTGCTCAAAGGCGGGGAATCTGTGCTGGAACGTTCCATGAGCCCTAAAGCAGGGGAGCGCAGGACCCACCTCACAAGGAAGTCAGGACCTGAGGACTGAAAATTTTAGCACAGGGCAAGTATTCCTTCCCAGATCCTTAAGAGGTAACAATATTCCATGTGAGTTTGCGAGGAGGAACAAAAAAAAAAAATCAAAGCAGCACATTCTCTTTTCTCCTTAGTAGTGGAACTTCTGCAGAAGTGGAATGAAGCCCTTTGGCAAGGCTCTGACTCCCTTGGTTTCTAGGGATCTAAATGCAAATAACACAGGCGGGAGACTGAAAGCACACGCCCTCCAAAACCCCCCCTGGAGTCCTTGCTTCTCCAGGCCACTGCCTTCTGCCAAGGTTACCTATCCCAGGCAGGGTGGACGTGCAGGGACTTGCAGACTGCAGCCCCTGCTGGACCGTGTGGGCGAGCAATGGTCGCAAGAAGCACGGCCAACGGGAAGAGCTTTGGCCAAAGGTATCTGGAGCTTTTTCCAGGACAAATAGAAAAACCATGTGAAGCAGCTGGACCCACGTCGGGCAGTCTCCTGTCGGAAATGTCACACTGAGCTTCACGATGTGGGTGTAATCAAGGAACTGTGAGTCTCGAGAAAACATCCGGAAGGTATGGAGCGGGAAGATGCAGCCAGGCTGTGGGCGTGCGCATTCCAGGCCCAACAGCGTGGGTGGGGGAGGATGGATCTGGTGAGGGAGGGTAGGAATGGGCTTCGCAGTGCCCACCAGGATGACACCAAAAGCAGCTGCTTTCTGTGCCTCTGGAAGACATATATGAGCTCTTGTTTCTGTCACAGCCACTGGTTCCTTGGAGGTCAAAGGGCTCGAGGATGCCCATATACAACAAGGAAGGGGCTGTGTTGGGGTGATTCCTCGGTGTCTCCTGGGCTAGCCTTGTGTCTGCACCGTCACCTCACCCGGATGCCACCATTCCATAGTGACCCACTATGACCCTATTACATTCTTCATGATCTTTTCTGAGAGACAAAAAATAGATCCTATTGACTTCACTTTTCCTACTTGTTCCATAAATACTTTCCCTTTCTATTTTGAAAAGTGTTAAAATTTACAGGAAAATGGAAAGGATCAATACCATAACACTGGCATACCCCTCACTTACAGTGACAAATTGTTAATATTTTGCCTTATTTGCTTTCCCTCTCTATTTCTCCTTCTCTCTCTCTCCAAATACACACATACACACACATTTTTTTTTTTTGCCGGAAAAAAAAAATAATATCTGAAAGCAAGTTGCAGATATTACATCAGCCTAAGGACAATAACAGCCTCCTACAAAATCCATGGTGGGGGTTTATTGGTCGGACAACACTTTTTAAAACCAGGATCCTTGTTGAAGCTCTCCCAGATTCCTGCGTCTGATAAGTGTACGATTTTGGAGTTATTTTCTTGAAAAAGAAGAATGATAAGTCAGTCATAATGCCTTTAATGGGCCAGGTCCGTTTTTGGTTTTTATCTAACGTGGATACTCTCTTCTTCTTTTAATACACTGTGTAGGGTGGGGGGGTGAAGAGACTGACTTTTAGAGGCGTGTGGCTGGATTTCCTTGGCAGCTTCTGGCACTGGCTCCTAGACACTTGTTGAAATGCCCTTATAAGTTCATCTGCCCTCTGGATAGTAGCTTCTGGAACATGAACACTCAATGTGTCATTGCTCCATGAGGAGGTGAATAAGAAAAACGAGGCAGCTCTAAGCCTTGCAAAAGAGCCTCCAGTCCCCAGATGGGTACTTGGTTCGGTTTCCGTCACTGACTTTTTTAGTTTGCTCAATTTTTTTTTTTTTTCTCATTCAAAAGAAGAAGGGAGAAGGCCAAACAAAGTGACACTGGGAGCAACGGAAGCGTCATCATCAATTATAGGAACGCCATCCTCCATCATGGACTTCCCCTTTCGCTACACTCTATCAAGGAATCTAATGAAGCCCCAGGCCTGGAGCAGAAGCCGTGAGAGCGTGGACCACAGCCGTGCGGGCCCGGGCAAGGGCAGCTCACTGTGCCAGCCCACCGTCCAGGCCTGGCCTCCGGAGAACTTCTGGAAAAAAAGAAAGGCAGGAGCGCACATCCAAGTGGCCCCCGCCTCACCTGGGCCCTCAGTGCACAGGGTGGACATGCCCTGCGGAGGAGGGCCTGCTCCGTGCCTGAGTCAGGGAACCCAGCCCACACTCCTCACTGCGCTCGTCTGTAGCCCACACAATGGGGCTCAACTCTTCTCTTTAACCATCACCATCTTGCATAATCTGCCTCTAATCTCACTTCCCATCCCTTTCTTACAAAATGTTCATTTATTCAGGAACACGTCCATCCATTCAAGAAACAGGGTGCTTGGGCTAACTAAACAGTAGCAAAGAAAGCAAGTATTTATTAAAGTAGCTACTGTGGGCCAAATGTTTTACATACATTATTTCATTTACTCTTCATAACATAAAGATAACATAAACATAAAGGTAGGTATGTCATCCCATTTTTTAGATGAAGAAAGTAAGTTGTAAAGATTTTTTTGAAAACACACACACACTGTGCCCAAGGTCACCCTGTTAGTAAGGGACAGATCTGCCCAATTCTAAATCTCGGGCCCTTTCAGCCTCACCATGCTGGGTTACTAAATATATTAAAGATGGAGAGCCACCTTGCAAAGTCTCAGAATACAATAAAATGCAATGTTTCCCAAACAGCAGTCCTCAGTAACTTAACAAAGATTTGCTTAACTGGAATACATTTCAAATAACTCAGGAACTCTGCTGAGCAGAATTGGCTCTTTCACTGAGGATTTAAAAGGTACTTTGGGAACTTGTAATGCCCCGGGCCGGTCATTACGGACATCAATTATCACTGTGGAGCTTGGCAGAAGATGAATCTGGCTACTGTGGCCGCTGCCCACTCCCGGGCCCGCCCAGGCCCACACTTCCTGCCCCCTCAGAGTCTCTATGAATGATCAGTTTCTCCCCTCTGCTCCTGCCGCCCAGCCCTTGGCTTACAAACGTGCTCCTATCTCTCCCATCCCCTGGAAAGAAAGATCCTGTGCCTTAACCCTCTACCCTCTTGAGCTGCCATCCTGTCCCTATGCTTGTCATCCCCTCTAACTTCTTTTATTATTTTTTTTTATAGATTTATTTATTTTTGGCTGCGGTGGGTCTTTGTTGCTGCACACGGGCTTCCTCTGGTTGCGGCGAGCGGGGGCTACTCTTCGTTGCGGTGCGCGCGATTCTCACTGCAGTGGCTTCTCTTGTTCCGGAGCACGGGCTCCAGGCGTGCAGGCTTCAGTAGTTGTGGTACAAGGGCTTAACTGCTCCACGGCACGTGGGATCTTCCCAGACCAGGGCTCGAACCCATGTCCCCTGCATTGGCAGGCGGATTCTTAACCACTGCGCCACCAGGGAAGCCCTCTGACTTCTTTCAAAAAGCTGCATGCTCTCGTGCGTGTCCTCAACCTGCTGCAGGTGACCTTCTGCCCCCCAAGTCCCTACTGAAAGTGCTCTCTCCAAAGCCACTCTGTCACCAGACCTAGTGACCTTCCCAATCTCCCCCCTAAGGTTCCGAGGCTGCCCACACCTCCTGCTTCCTGGAGACCCTCTTCTCCCTCACCTCCCAAGTCCTCCTCTGCTCTGACCACCCCGCTTCCTTACCACATCAAACATGTGGCTCTCCCGTTGCAGGATTCTGACCTTGGCACCTTTATCCTGCACCTTTGGCCATGTCCACCCCTCCAAGGACTTCAGCTCTCAGCCCCGTGCCAGCCCCTCCAGATGCCCCCTCCCAACCTCTCATGCAACATTGCCCAGGATCTGCGCTTCTGCCCACTCCTGACTGTGGAGACAACAGCTCCACTGGACGTCTCCAGGAACAGCCTCTTCACCTGCTTCCTGACCCAGTGCCTCCCCCAGTCAGGCCCCCTCTCCCTGCCGTCTGCATGCCCAGCCTCCCGGCCCTCCAGGCCTACAGCCTCCCTGCACACCAAGTCCCAAGGATTCTCCTTCCAGATCCCCTGCTCCTCGGGTCAGGGCCCACCCCACCTTCTAGGTCAGATTCCTGCTACTGGTCACCCTTGTCATTCCTGCAGCGCTCCTGGACTAGTCTCCCTAAAGCACAGCTCTAACCAGTTAAAAAACACAACGACCACCTAACCAAAAACTCGAGAAACCTTTCTGTTCCTCTCTACTGCTCTTTAGCTTGGCTCTCAAGCACCGTCCAGTCCTCCAGTCTCCTCTTCTCCTGGTCCCCACACATGCCCTGGTTCCAGCTACACCACCTCACCTGCCTCTTCACACTTGCTCACACTGGCCCCTCAGCTTGGCATGCGTCCACTCTCTGAATCACCAGACCAACCCTCTAAGTCCTCGCCCATGTCAGCTCCCCATGAGTCCTTCTTCCTCAGACAGGGGCTTGAGGACAGGGGTTAAGACTGAGGTCCCTAGAGCCAGACTGCCTGCATGAACTCAGGCTGGTTGGTAATTCTGTGCCTCAGTTTTCCCATCTGTAAAACGGAGCTGATAACCCTCCTAGTGTTGCTGTCAGAATTAAACGAGGTAATACATCGAATGCTCTTGCAACAGAATGAGTATTCAATAAATATCAACAGCTTAACTACCCTTCAAACAATCTAGACTCCAGGTCCATGGCACCTGCCCTGTCCGCTTGTCACTTTCTTTTCTTTTCTTTTTTTTTTTTTTTTAATCATGATTTTATGTGTATGGAGGTCTCGGCCTCTCTGGGGCAAGAGCCACATCTTCAGCATCTCTCCCCAGCACTATTCGAACAAGCAAGAGGAACTCCATAAATGCATTGTTGAACTGAATTAAAATTAAATAACAGGTATTTACATAGAGATCAAAAACTGTTTACTCTATCGGGAAGAGGCTCTACTTCTGAGGGACCCATGGCTGCGAAACCGGCCCCTACAGGAAATGGAAGGAATCCCATGGTTTTAGTAACTTCTTGTGCAATGAGCAGAGAAAACAAAGTAGAATTTTCTGGAATGAGGCACACACACAGAATCCAGCTACACAGGAAACTGCCCCGGCGGGTCATCTTTGTGATTTGAAGAATTCTGCCCCAAATGCCCCTGACAGAACGCAGCATCAAAGGCCATCTTTCCAAGGTGGAGGCACCAGCCCAAGTGAGTCGTGGCCACTGTTTAGGAAAACCAGCTGAGGAGTCACGAGGGAAGGTCCACTCTAGCAGGATGCAACAGGATTTGGCAGGGGAAAGACTTCAGCTCGCTCCACCCAGGCCCCAAGGTAGCCAGCCTATCAGGGTTATACTTGGAGTGAGAACAGGGATGCGCATCTTTTCCCTAAATCAGTGTCCTTTCCCAATCCTTAGGAAAGCTACGAGATTAGCCTCTTTCTCCATGAGCCACTATAAGTGCACATTATCCAAAAATGTCTGCAAATGCAGCGGAACCCAATGCAGGCCCCAGGGGGAAAAAAAAAAAAAAGGGCTGAGGAAGAGCAAGGGAGCTGCTTTAGTCTTTAGGAATGAGATCCCCAGGGACATGAGCAAACTTCCCCCCCCCCCAAAAAAAATCTCAGGCTTGGAGGAAGGTGCAGAAGAGTGATGAGTATGTCAGGCACAGCAGTGAGGCCCTTGGCTGGCCCCCAGCTGGTCTATTCCAACCCCGCTCAGACTTCAAGGCCCAGCCCAGGAACAGCAACGCCCCCTCTAAGATCCTATGGCACCTCAATGGGCACCATCCATCTGGCTCTGGGACAGATCTGCCTCCTATTTTTAGGTGACTTTCCTGTTTGCTAAATCACTAGTCCCACTCTCCTGCGTGTCCCTTGAATGAAGGGGAAGACTTCACATTTTACCTCCCCCTCCCACAAGGCCATGCCAATAATTCAGCTCCATCCAATAAGTTTGGAACAATTCTGAGCAAAATTGAGGGAGGCAGGGTCACAGACGACTCACCCCCATACTCAGGTGGCTGACAACCCAGGAGGAGAAACATGGTAGCCTGTCAGGTCTCCAGTGTGACATGTGCTGTGAGAGGTATGAGAAGGGGATCACGTCCAGGTATAGGAGCAGGGAAGAGATCAGAAAGGCTTCCTAAAGAAGGCAACATTCAAGATGACTTCAATACTGGACATCACAGTTGTGAGGGGTTGTGTTGCTTGGCTGGTTGGTTGGATGGATGGTTGGTTGCCTGGATGATTAGTTGGTTAAATGAATATATGAATAAAAAATAAATGAGTGAATGAATGAATGCTGACAAGTGAACTTGAAGATAAAGCTTGGATTGTTCCAATTCTATTAAAGATTATCAACTTAAGTTTCATGACACTGTCCCAAACAGATCAGCATGGTTTTCCCTTTCATTCTCCTTACTACGTACATTCTCTCATTTGCTCCATATAGATTGCCAGGTCCAGGGATATAGCTAGGAAAAACAACAACAACAAAGAAATAAGGCCCGCTCCAATCCTCAAAGAGTTAATGGAAGTAAAGATGAATTATCAAATCATTGTGCTCTATTGAGGATTACCCATGATACTGAGAAGCAGAAGAGAAGCAGCCAGACTGCGGACTAGGCTAGAATTAGAGTGAAACATAACAAGGTACCTAGGATGCAAAATTTAAGGAGGCAGTCAGTCTCAAGGTTCATGGAGGTGCCTACACTGCAGCTGAAACACCGTAAGAGTGAGTGCCTCCTTAAATTTTGCCCCTGAGATACCTCACTTGCTTCACTCTCATCCTGACCCTGTTGCTAATCTCCAGATGGGCCTCTCTTTGGGGTTCTGGTAGCTAGGGTCTGCTGGAAGCTAGCTCGCAGACCAGCCAGTAAGCATCTTGGAGTGAGGGGGAAAAAAGCACCCAGGAAATAAGAGTCTCCATACCCCTCCCCTGCTCTCTGACGCTCACCTCCCAAAAATTATCTCTGAGCCTTAACAGCTACTTTCCATCTAGCAGCAGCGGCTTCCCCTGCATGGAACATCTTCCCAGCCTGCGTGCCATGGACTTGGGCCTAGGGCAGAGCTGGCAAGGCCCAGGTGTGTGCAGAGGAGGATCTCAGAGCTGCCATCCTAATGTCCAAAAATGGACAAAATGAGATCATTCACCCTTCCAAGGAGAGGTGTGGACACTCTCTTGCCTCTTTAGCCACACTTTCTTGATCTCAAAGGAAATCTGACTCATGAGAAGTCTCTTTCCCCTGGGGGATGCATTGGATCAAAGACTCAGAAACCCTTGAACTGAAGGTAGGTAGCAGCTATAATTAAAGCACAGGGGTGAGAGCATCAACCCTGCTCCTGGAGGGCTCCGAGTGGCCTGTAATGTGCGCTGGAGCCGTTTCTCGTGTTTATAAACTCCTGGACGTGCTAGGGAGAGGCCGGCATTTGGAGGAGAGAGAAGGCATTCCACTGTGGACCGGGGACACACATGTAGGATGAATGTGGGTAAGAGATGGGAAGGAGAACCAGCTAGGCACAGGGCACTGATGGCAGGTGTGAAGGGCAGCCGTACTGACACAGAAGACAGATCCCTGAAGTCAGTTATGAAGGGGAAGCTGGACCAGCACAGGAGCCCCAGGCAGGCCACCTGTTCACGCGGGGTTTCTGGCACACAGGAAAGCAACTGTGTGTTGTGTATGTTTCAAGGCTCAGCTAATTTCGAACCTCCCTAGTCTGACATAAAGTCCAAATAACATGCAGAGACAAATTAAAATGGAAATTCTACCCATTACTCGTCCCATGCAGCGCAGATGTTGTCAGACTCTGGATGCTCGGGGATGGGGAACAGTCAATAAACCACAAATGCCACATCCTCTGCTCAGCCTCTTCCAGGCCCCAGGTGGCATCATTCACTCCCTCTCAGGATGCAAACAGGCCTCGGCTAGTGATCTGGAGCTCGGGAGTGGGGAGGACCCAGGAGGGATTGGATCTCATTCATCTCTCTCCCACCTGAGTGTGTCGTCATGTCATCATCTCATCATCGTTGGTAGGGGCCTGGTGAGTGTCTGCTGGCTGAAATCACACAACAGGGCCAACCAAAGTCTCTGGGGTCCTGAAGATTGATGAAGATCTGCTGCCACCTACTGTCCATTCTCCTGCAAAACCCGAAAACCTGATGGGGGCGCACCCTACATCAGTCGCTGTATCCCTGGAATTGACTACAGGCCTTGACACAGAGCCGTCACACATTGATGCTTTGGTGGGGCTGTGTCTGTGTCCAGGCTGCAGAGATCCGCACAGAACAAGGCAGGCTAATCACAGCTATTCCTCA